TGTGTATGCTTCGCGAAGTTCTTGTGTTGTGTTTTTTAGCTCCCTCAGGTCATTTATATTGTTATCTAAGTTGTTTATTCTAGTTAGCATTTCATCTAACCTTATTTCAAGGTTCTTAGTTTCTTTGCATTGGGTTAGAACATGTTCTTTTAGCTCAGAGAAGTTTGTTATTACCCACCTTCTGAAGTCTGTTTCTGTCAATTAATCAGACTAATTGTCCATCCAACTTTGTTCCCTTGCTTGTGAGGAGTTCTGATTCCTTGGAGGATGAGAGGCATTCTGGTTTTTGGTGTTTTCATCATTTTTGCACTTGTTTCTTCCCATCTTCATGGATTTATAAACCTGTGTTCTTTGTAATTGGTGACTTTCAGATGGGGTCTCTGAGTGGACATCTTTTTTGTTGATGTTGAAGGCATTTTTTTCTGTTTTTTAGTTTTCCTTCTAACAGTCAGGCCCCTCTGCTGTAGAACTGCTGGATGTCCACTCCAGACCCTGCTTGCCTGGGGATCACCTGCGGGGGCTGCAGAACAGTAAGGGGTGCTGCTGGTTTCTTCTTCTGATATGTTTGTCCTAGAAGCATACCCGCCAGATGTCAGCCTGAGCTCTTCTTTGTGAGGTGTCTCTGTGTATATATGGGGATTGGGGATCTGTTTGAGGAGACAGTGTGTCCCTTATAGGAGCTCAAGTGCTGTGCTGTGAGCTCCATTGTTCCTTTCAGAGCTGCTAGGCAGGTACCTTTAAGTCTGCTGCAGTAGAACTCATAACTGCCTCTTTTCCCAGGTGGTCTGTCCTAGGAAGGTGGAGCTTTATTTATAAGTTTTTGATGTGCTGCTGCCTTTTTTCAGAGATACCCTGCCCCTAAGGAGGTAGTCTAGTCACAGTCCGCCAGCAGAGATGTTTCTGAGCTGCCTTGGGCTCTGCCCAGCTGTTGTGTAAACTTCCTTGTGGTTTTGTTTACAGAGCTGTAGTTAGAACTGCCTCTGTAATGGTGGTCTGCCTCGATAATGGTGGACTGCTTTGGTAATTGCAGACTGCCCCCATAGCGGTGGACTGCCTCGGTAGTGGCGGACTGCCTCGGTAAGGGCAGATGCCTTTCCCCCCACTGAGCTGGACTGTCCCAGGTCCAGCTGTGCTTGCTGCAAAAGTCTCAATCCAGAGCGTTTTATATTGCTGGTGTTTATGGGGGTGGGACCTGCTGAGCCAGATCACCTGGCTCCCTGTTTCAGCCCCCTCTTTTTCAGTTGAATGGGCGGCTGTCTCCCAGGCCTTCCAGGCGCCAGTTGAAATGGCCACCCAGATCTGTGTGAGTTTTTGTGCAGAAACCCGTGGCACCAGCTGAAACAGCTGTGTTGGAGACTCGTGGTGCTTTTCAGTCTGGGAATCTCCTGGTCTGTGGGTTGTGAAAACTAATTTGGGAATGTGGTGATCACTTACCCTCTATATTGTTCTTGCTGGGAACTGCACTCCAGAGCTGTTCCTATTCAGCCATCTTGGATCTCCTATTCTGGATTTTTATTTCAAGTGCAATTTCAGTGAGTCATTTTTTTCATTGGGTGTTACTTTTACATATAAAAAACGTGATTGTAGGTGTATTATGTTACTTCCTGGGTGCCTTCTAGGACTTTTGATCTGCAAAACTGAATATTCTGTTAAAGTTGTTTCTTGATTTAGTTGGTATTTTGGAATATCTCCTGAAATGACTTTCAAAATGACCAAACCTATATATTTTTTTCTCTTATTACAGTTAAAAGTCTTTTTTTTTTTTTTTTGTAACTTTTCTATGTCCAGAGCCATTTCAAAACTTGCCAAATTACCAAACCCATATTTTTTTTCCTTATTACAATTAAAAATCTATTTTTTGTTAATTTTTCTATGTCCAGGGCTATGTCAAACTTTCCATAGTTTGTTCTTGTTTATCACTGTCTGAATGATATCTACCATTTTCAACTCTTACCTATAGACATTATTCTTTTACCATATAATGGAATAACCTCACAGTTTATTTAGGGGAGCTGAGAGGGTAGCCTTATATTTTAGAGATGTATCCTGATGAATTTACAGATGAACTGTCATGATGTTTGGGATGTGTTTTTAAAATATTCAGGATAAAAAAGGGAGACAGTATTAACATCCAGAGTTTATTTAATAGTAATGTACCATTGTTAACTTCTTAGTTTCAACAAATGTACTGTAGTTCTCTTAAGTCATTTATAATGGAGGAAATTGGCTGAATGGCATATGGAACTCTGTGTACTATTCTGCAACTTCTCTGTAAATTGGAAATTACACTAATAAAAAGTTTATTTAAAAGAAAGAATAAAACGGTGGTGATAAATAAAGCAAAGATGGAAAAATGTTGAAAGTGGTTGAAACTGGTTGAATGGTTGAGGGTTATGTATTCCTTTCTTAGGTAAGCAGAGCTTTGCAGGTCTTTTTCCCAGGTGTCTGGGTGTCAGAGCAGGACACTAAGCCTCAGCTGCTTTACTCTGTGGTTCCTGTGACCTTGGTTTCACAGTTCTTCCCTGCATTTAACGTTCTGCTTCCTTGGAAGAAAGAGCTTAAATTATTTTCAGTGACCAAGTGTCATAATGAATCATAAGATAATTTAACTGTAATGATTCATGAAATAATTCCTAGTAGGATACATTTATTTAATAGCTTTGTATCACCAGGTGCACTAAACTCTATTACCATGAGTGCAATTCAGAAGAAGCCAAAGGATATGCTACTATAACATTGATGTTAGGAATGCTACTAAGAGTCTGGTTTTTTTTTTTTTCCCTTTATAAAAAGAAAAAATATGACTAGCTTGTCATGTATGTGAGGAGACTATAAAAATATGGTTATGAAAAATGTTGTCTGTCTCCCCATCTCTTCTATGGGGCCCTACTAAGTGAAGACTAAGGAAAAGAGGAATAAAGGGGGCTTGACCAAAGATTCAGAAAAATAGTCTCATGATGCTATTCTGTGAATAATATCTTGATTTGCCCATTAGTAAAGCATGTTTCTTAGACTACCAACAAACACAGGTTCTAATGGATAGGCATTCTACCAGCCTCCAGCTGAGGTAAGTCATTTACACTGTGTCAGATGTGTGAGGCTGCTGGAGTTTCTGTCATTACCGTTAGCTAGCTAGAATTGTATAGCATTATCTTGTTGTACATTTTTTAATAGGCACTTTATGCATTTTCTAATTTATTATTCACTTCAGAGTCAAAATATATTTATGAAATTTTAGATAGGATTTTCAAGCTTCAGAAAGTAATTTGTGAAATACAAAAATGAGTTTGGAATCCAGGTTGTTTCCTAGCTTCCAGGAACACCATTTCTTAATCATTGCAGCTAATGCAAATGGATTTACCAGCTGTTTTTTTTTTTTTTTTTTTTTTTTTTTTTTTTTTTTTTTTTTTTTTTTTTTTTTTTTTTTTTTTTTTTTTTTTTTTGTATGTGTGTGATGGAATTTCACTCTTGTTGCCCAGGCTGAAGTGCAGTGGTGCAATCTCGGCTCACTGCAATCTTCACCTGCTGGGTTCAAGTAGTTCTCCTCTCTGAGCCTCCCAAGTAGCTGAGATTACAGGCATGCACCACCACACCTGGCTAAATTTGTATTTTTAGTGAAGACAGGTTTTCTCCATGTTGGTCAGGCTGGTCTCAAACTCCCAACCTCAGGTGATCTGCCCGCCTCTGCCTCCCAAAGTGCTGCCATTACAGGGGTGAAGCACTGTGCCCAGCCACCAGCCGTTTTTATATGGCTTTATTTTACTAATGAAATAAAAAAAAAAACCCACAAAGTCATCATGTATGCGTATCTAAATTTTTCCAGTGTTGTTTTTCCTAATAAGTCTTTTATTTAATGTTGTGTATTCTTTCTGCGTCACCGGCAGTGGAGAGAATTTGATTAGAGATGTGACTCTGAGAGCTGAAATCACCTATACTTCACCATTTTTGTTTGTTTTTGAGACACAGCCTCACTCTTTTTGCCCAGGCTGGAATCCAATGGTGCATTCTTAGCTCGCTGCAACCTCTACCTCCCAGGTTCAAGCTGTTGTTCTGCCTCAGCCTCCCAAGTAGCTGGGATTATAGGTGTGCAGTATCACACCTGGCAAAGTTTTGTATTTTTAGTAGAGATGGGGTTTCACCATGTTGGCCAGGCTGATCTCTAACTCTTGACTTCAACCTCGGCCTTCCAAAGTGCTGGGATTACAGGCATGAGCCACTACGCCCAGCTGGAGTTACCTATACTTTAAACTGGGGCACTGCGTGGAGTCAGACTCGTCTTTCTGGACCTGGGCAGCGCTAAGCAGCCCAGCGTATGCTACATTTCTAACATGGCCTTGCTATGTGAAATCAGTGTGTCTGTTTTATAAAGACCACCTGACTGGTGCTGTTTTACCATTGATGTGCTATTGATGTGGTTTTCTAGTACCAAAACACTAGTTTCAGTAGTTAGTATAACTTAACAGCTTCCTCTGAAATGTTAAAGGGCCTCTGTTTCATATTACTTCAAAATAGAAATGAGAAGTCACTAAATTTATTATTACAAACATTAGGAAGCCTTTATTTATAACTTACAGATAGAATATAAGTACATATAATACTTTAAAGGTTGTCTATGTTTTTCAAGCCTTTTTATAAATAAAAGGTTTTGGTTTTTGTGTTAGAAAAAAATTAGACATTAAAAATTAGAGGAATAATGAGCTGAAAGATTATCATCTTTTGAAGTGATGGATTAAAAATAAATCAGGCACAAGTATTTTTATGTAAGCTGCATTTTTAAAAAGTAATCTGAAAAGCTTTAAAATTATGTTGCTGGTGGGCTTTCTGGTAACTTACATGGAAATGATTTTTCATATTTTTATCAAGAAGTCAGTTCTAGACATTTAAATGAATAACTCATGAATACCTTTGGGTTTCTGTCATGGACCTATTGGATTTCAAGGATATTGCAGGATTTTATATTGGTTCAATGAGACTCTTTAGTTTTTTGTACAGATATTTGCGTTAATGAGTATCAACAAGCATAACAGTACAAGCTTGACTTGTGTTTGGAAACAGGATTTCTAAGTGAACCAGTACATATTTGCTAACTACCTGTATTTTTTCGTACTGAGTTGTTTTTTCTCTTTCAAAACCATGAATTTATGATCCAGTAAGTCCAGAATTGGTAGCACGAAAAAAATCCTGTCTTTTATGCATTATTTTCACATCTTAATTTTTCTTTCTGAGCCTTGGTCCCTTTAGGTGAGGCAAAAGTCTCAGTGACCTTTAAACGGAATGCTTTTGAGAGATGATAGTACAGGATAGGATCAAAGCACAGGTTTGACACAGCCAGAAGCAGTGTGGCCTCTTTGGCTTTGAAGAGTGAAATCCTGGTTGAGCAATCAGTTATGACTTCTGTCTGGCTGAGGGTATATGGGATGCGGACAATATGATAAGGAACAAAGCATATGATGTAGCCTGTGGTCACTAAAAGTATGTTGATGAGGGCCTTTTTCACATTTGGGTAATTTTCATTATCTCTATTTGTGTAGAGCTGTCGAATTACAAGGCAGTTGGATATTAAAATGATGGCTGAGAAATTTAAAAATATTGCTACACATATGAAATTGGTTAGCAAATGCCAGTTTCTTCCAAATTCGTTTTTAAACTCCATACAACCCACATTTGACTTTTCCTTGATGTCTTTGATGGGAATCATCATATTTGGCACCATTATGAGAAGGACCATTAGCCACACAACGGTTGATATCATTTTGGCAAATCCAGGTTCTTGTATTCGGTAGATCTTGCAGCTGTGTATCAACTGAAGACAGCGATCAATGCTGACAAATGCCAAGAAGATAATTGATAAGTACATATTGATATAGATGAGGCAGGCTGTTACTTGGCAGTGGAATATCTTCAGCTTCCAAGGTGCGACACCCAAATCAACAACAATTTTCACAGGTAATGCCAGAGTAAGCAGGAAATCGGCTGTAAGCAAATTAATTAAGTAGATGCTCACACACCTGTGTTTAGTATTCTTCTGTAGAAAAGCCCAGGTTGCAAAACAACTTCCGATAATTCCAACAAGGAAAACTAAATAAAAAAAATACGTGAATGGCTCTAGATCTTTATAAACTGGGCAGAAGAACGAACTGTTTGTCATCTTGAGGGAAAGTAAGGATGACTGCTGATTGAAAAGAAAAATTTCTAAGTTTAGACTCTGTAAAAGAAACAAGAGAAGGGAGGTTAGTAATTAAAATTAGCAACTATTTTGTTTGAAAGACATTTGTTCTCACAATACCATTATCCTTCTAGTTCTTAGATATAATTTTATTGATGAACTTACCAGACCATGTAGCCTGGTGAGAACATAGTAGATTATGAAGAAGCCTGGGTTTTCCATTGTCTGATTTTGTGACTTTCAGGAAATCCCATGCAGGTTTGCTTTTAGTAGGGATATTTTCAACCTCGGGTTTTCTATTCAGGTAGTTCTTTTGTTACTAGTTGGGTTGGAAGTTAGTTTGCAGAGGAGATAAGTGAACTGAAATTCTGAGAAGTAGAGAGAGGAAACTAGGTTTGTGGTTGAGCCTGAGGAGCCTTCAGTGAGGCCTTATGGTTATTTTCTTGTTTTGTTTTTTGTTTTCCATAGATTAATGTAGCTCCTCAGTCTAGGAGAACCTGGCTGACAGGGGAGGTAAGGAGTTCATGGAAAATTGTAGTACAATTTTAAAAGCATTATTTAAAAATAGGTGTTTCATTGTGTAACCTGTTGGAAGGTTTTCAAAAACAAAATTTATTTCATTTTTCTTTTTAGCAAAGGGAGTTGAATAGAATGTGATCTTAAATTGATGCTTATTTCCTTCATTTTCATTTCTTTAGTTTCTTAATGGCCTTTTCATCCTTCAGTTTCTTAATGGCCTAGACCTCTTACATCCAGTATTGTGACCTCTACCAAGTGCAGCTATTGAACATTTGAAATATGCACAGTCCAAAGCAACTTATGCTGTAAATGCAAAATACATGCTGAATTTTGAAGATTTAATATATAAAATATTATAAAAAATAGTACAAGTAGTACAAATTATACTGTTTTATATAAACAGTACAAAATTAAGTATCTTTAATATCTTACCAATATTTTTTATATTGAGCCCATGTTGAAATGTTTTTTGGTATATTAGTTTAAATATGTTATTGACATAAATCTCTCTTGTTTACTTTTACTTTTAAAATACATTTGTTGGAAAAAACTAAATTACCTTTGTAATTTGCATTATCCTTCTATTGAACAGTACTGGTATAGATGTTTCTGTCAGTGTTTTTGAGTATTTTCTTAAAAAAAGTATTTTAAAAGCTACCAGAACGTGGATGTATGTTCATTGATTACAAAATCCTTGGAGAAAGATTTAGTTACATTAGTATCAAAACATCTAACAGTTGAATTGTTTTTTTTTTTTTTTAATGTGGGCTTTAAAGCAGTTAAAAGCCCAAAAACATAAGACATTCCCCTTAGAACTACTGTTCTACTTACCATTGATAATGGCAGTGAAATCTTGTCATGCTCCTCCCAAATCTGGAACATTGGGTGGATTTGTAAACTCAAGTTAAACTGATAAGGCTCCCTTTGACCTGGTCTAGTCAAACTTACATACTTAAGAGCTAAGGGTAGATTAGTAACCTTTCTTGTGCTTCCTGTTGGTGTGGGTCCTCCTTTTGCACATTCAACAGTGTTCTGTTATTTTAAAGACCTGAAGATTATTTTTGTATTTTAGCAAGGAAAAAATTTATAGTACAATCTTTTTAAAGGTAGCAAATAGTAAGTTATGGTGACCAACATAGAAGGCCAAATCAGCTACTCTGAAAGCTCCCTTAATAAGAGAATAAAACTTATGTCTTTCTAAAAATTCTCCCAACTATTTAATGAACCTTTGTGTGCATTTGTAATGAAACAATATATGCAGATTATTAAGGCAGATGTACACAAAGCTTTCTAAATTAAAGTGCTGCTTAAAGGCTACATGCCCTTTCTCCTTCCCTACCTGAGTTAGCACCTTAGAGTCCGTGAATAATGTCATCCTTTACCAAACTGAATGAAAATATTTAAGCACTTGCTTTGTATCTGACATTATGCTAAGTGCTTTAGGTGTACTTATGTAAGTTCTTTTCATTTCCATAAGGTAGGTGTTGTTATTGTCCCTGCTTTACAGATGAGGAAACTGAGGCATAATGGGGTTACATACCCAAAGTTATGTAGCTGGTAGGATACAAAGCCAGGATTCCAACTGAGTCAGTTTGATCTCAGAACCACATTCAAAACCATTCCAAAACACTGCCTCAATAATAGTAATAATAGTAGGTGATGATAGTAATGATAATGGTGATGATGATGATGATGATGATGATATCTGCCAATCTTTACTAAGGGCCTACTGTATGGGCAGGAATTATGTTCTAATCAAGTTTTAAGTAATAAAGCTGAAATAAACTATTCATTTTTAACTTTTTACCAAAATACTAAGGAAATAAGTATAGGCTTTTCATGTATTTTGATGTTTTATGAATACATCCACACACACGCATGCCGTACACACACACACACACACACACACACACACGAATGCACATTTAAAAACAACCCTAGGTCCTTTCCAATAAGTTTAAATCAGCTTTACTCTCAAAGCTCCCATAACCTAGTTTCTCTCTACCATCTTGACTATCTCTTAATCCCAGATTAGAGATAGTGCATGTGATAGAAATTTTGGGATCATAGGATTTTAAAAATGGATGGGATCTTTATAAATTGCCTCTAGTGGAATCCTCAAGTAAGTTGAGGAGATGGAGGGCTGGCCCTGGTTCCTCAAGCTTGCATGTTCAGGCAGGACTAGGATCTGCTCTTATTGATCATTGTCTGAGCTCTCTGCCTTTATCCTTCCTGTTCCTGAATCCCGCTTATTTCAGGGCTTTAAGGAAGCTCCTCATATCTGAAAACTACTCTAGGCTTTACCGATGTCCTTGGCGACCATGAATTTTGATAGTTACCATTTATTTGAACTTTGGAATTTTGAACATACTTTTCTTTATGTGAAAAACTAGTGTTGGTGTGCATTGATCACATATCACATCTTTGCTTACTGTTACTTTCTAAGGACCTAGGATTTTGGCTTATGGTTTTTCTTTTGCTTTTTCTTTTCTTTTCTTTTTTTTTTTTTTT